TCACCACCTTTGGGGGCTCTTCTGAGGCTTGGGAAACTTCAGAAGAGCCCCAGAAGGTGGCGATTTCACCCCCTCTGGCCCCCGAGGGAGGCAGGGGGAGGCTCCACAGGGTCCTGGAACACACCCTAGGACCCTAGGGTGTGTTCCATAAGATGGACCTCTCCATAAGGCTCACCAAATTTTAGGAGAAGCAGATAATTTTTTTCCTGTTTTCTTCTCCTAAAAATTTGGTGCATCTTATGGAAAGGTGCGTCTTATGGAGCGAAAAATGTACTCTACTAAGAACTTATGTGAATACAATCCCCTTGTAAAGACATAAAATGAATAAAAAGCTTTGGATAACAGACGGCTGTGTTTGTGTGTGAAATTTAATTTTCATATTTAGGTCATTCCATTTTCTTTTGGTGGAAAAGTGTCTGAAAAAGTGGACTCTAACCAGGATAAATCACACTATAATAAACGTGTTGGTTCTAAAAGTGCCCCAACTTGCTTTTGTTTTCTTGTGATTGTTACTGAAGAAAACTGTGCTGTCATTGTACCTTTATAATGGACTTTTTTCTGGTAAGAAAAAAAAGATGTGGCAAACAAGAGGGCTACTGCAATATTCAGAGAATGAATTCAGTGATTGCAAAGTGAAAGCCTCACCTGGCAGCATGCCAAGTTCCATTCCCAAATATTTAGTATGTAATAACACTGAGAAACCTAGGTAAAGGTTCCCCTTGACAATTTTTGTCCAGTCCTGTTCGACTCTAGGGGGCAGTGCTCATCCCCGTTTCCAACCCATAGAGCCAGCGTTTGTCCGAAGACAATCTTCCGTGGTCACATGGCCAGTGCGATTTAGACATGGAACGCTGTTACATTCCCACCAAGGTGGTCCCTATTTATCTACTTGCATTTGCGTGCTTTCAAACTGCTAGGTTGGCGGGAGCTGGGACAAGCGACGGGCGCTCACTCCGTCGCGTGGATTCGATCTTACGAGTGCTGGTCTTCTGACCCTGCAGCACAGGCTTCTGCGGTTTAGCCCGCAGCGCCACCATGTCCCTAGACAGCACCTTAAAAAGCAGAGACATCACCTTGTCAACAAAGGTCCACATAGTCAAAGCTATGGTTTTTCCAGTAGCAATGTATGGAAGTGAGAGCTGAATCATAAAGAAGGATGACCACCGAAGAATTGATGCTTTTAAACTGTGGTGCTGGAGGAGACTCTTGAGAGTCCCCTGGACTGCAAAGAGAACAAACCTATCCATTCTAAAGGAAATCAACCCTGAGTGCTCACTGGAAGGACAAATCCTGAAGCTGAGGCTCCAAAACTTTGGCCATCTAATGAGAAGAGTAGACTCCCTGGGAAAGACACTGATGTTGGGAAAGAGTGAAGGCAAGAGGAGAAGGGGACGACAGAGGACAAGATGGTTGGACAGTGTCATCAAAGCTATCATCATGAATTTGACCCAACTCCGGGAGACAGTGGAAGGCAGGAGGGCCTCACTGACATCTGATTAATCTTCAAATTAACTCAAATCTGTGTGAATATCCTTCCTCTTTGCCACTTTGTTCTAACAATATCCTGGGGTTGCTGGACTGGCTGAAAGAAGATGAGTAGTTTCATGGTTCAGTAGAGACTGTGAACCTGGTTCTCCCAATTCTCAATACAACACTCTGACAACTGCACCATATTAACTGCTGCAACTATGCCTTCATATCTGTGTAATCCAAAATTCCAGATCTAGTTGTTCCTGTAGAGATTGTCCCATATTCTAGATTAATGTAATTCTAAACTAACCCCATAAATATCAACACCTTTCATTTGAAATACTGTACTGTACTGTTATTCCAGTACTTTATTTTTTAAAATTCTAATCCAGTAAACTTAAGTGCAGGAGCTCTATCAAAATGTACAGCAGTATTAGAGGAAGAAGCAGTCGCCTTGAGACTCCCAAAGCAGAACTCCTCTGTAAACAGTACTAATGCAGGGGATAGAACAGGAAAAAATGAGATACAGTATATAGAACTTCAGGGGACAGGGCTCAAGGTTAGTGAACACTGGTTAATTACTTAACAATGTTAAGTTCTCGCAGATAACTTAAATACATAAAGTCTCAGAAGTCTTTCATTAAGGTCTTCATGTTATATATATTTTGAATACCATGTCATAGACATATTATTTATCATTATAAAAGAACATATTCCACACTCCATATTTTTTTCAAATTTTCCAGGAAAAAAATGGCTTTGGGGAAAAATGGGGGAAAACTCTCTTTTTCCTCCAGTTTTTCCATTTTCCCCCCAGGCCTTCCCATCTCTACCTAACATAACTCAAACATAACTCATTGGCATTCACAATCATAGTAGTTAAAAACAGTGCTAATGCAGTGGTTTACACACCTGGGGAGACCTTAAAAATTAATCCTAATGCTCTCTGTCACTGCTCCCTAAGTTATCACACAGGAACATTAACAGGAATGCAACAGAAAGAATAAGGTACCATGCACTCCTCAGAGAAGTGGCAGAATAAAATTATCAGAAATCAGTACGTGTTAATATTTATTTATTTGTGCTTTTAAGGGAATATTTAGGTGCAAGGAATATTACCTCTAAGTCATGGTATAAACAAAATTAGAATCAAGTAAGGTTTTTGAAAATTATAGTATGTTCTTCTGTATGCAGACATGGAGAAACTGGGTGAAGAATGAAATACCGTATTTTTCGCTCCATAAGACGCACCTCTCCATAAGACGCACCAAATTTTTAGGAGAAGAAAACAGGAAAAAAATATGTTTTCTTCTCCTAAAAATTGGTGAGCCTTATGGAGAGGTCTGTCTTATGGAACACAACCTAGGACCCTTTGGAGGCTCACCCAGACCCCCTGAAGGCCAGAGGGGGCAAAATCACCACATTCTGGGGCTCTTTTGAGGTTTGGAAAGCTT